TACCTCCAGTCGGAAGATGTCCGCAGCTGCGGCCTCGCAGCTGCAGCACTCCCCTCGCGGTTCTCCTCCCGAAACTGTACGAGTAGGCGGTGCTCGGAAAGAGCAGACTGCACTCGCGGAAATCGCGTTCAAGTGTGATGCGTCTGAGAATTCTCATCGCCTTCACGTATCCACCCAATAAAAAGGATATCCGCTTTATTTACTAAATTTAACCTAACCTGAAACCCTTCATAACCAGCAACTCTCCCATCACCTTAAAGTTTACCTAAAAAGAATTATTTTCAGCGGGAAATTTCAATAAAATCGGAAACTTTGAATCTTCATTATTTTTACATAACCTCACTTTTTAAGGAGGCTGTGAAAGTGACATCAAAGAGGTCTCACCTATGAAACTTCTCTCCGAACGGGGTGTACCGAATCATCTCAAACTGTACAACGTGAAAATGTAAGCTACGAAGAAGGTCCCGACCCCCATGAAACTTGTTTTCTTTTTTTAATCTGATCATTTTCAAAAATACTTATGAAGATGAAGTTTCACGGGTGTCAGGACCTTCCTTACATTCTGCATATTGACGACGAAAAATTTGCAACGATTCGGTGCTCCCAGTTCGAAGAAAAGTTTCACGAACGACTGACCACTTTCACACTCCCTTAAATGGGGATATTCAATTTAATTCAATATATCATCATTTGTATATATGTGCCCATAATTATGAAAGTGGTCTAAGTCATATATTTTTTGGTCCGAAATTACATTGAATTAATTTCGTTTGAAATAATATGGCGTGAAATAACTGATAAACTCATTTTTTTTTTAATTTTGATTTAGACCACTTTCATAATTATGGGCACATATAATCTGCGACCTAGGTACCAAAAATTGTTTATTATAGAACTTATTATACTGCATCGTAATATGCAAAACAATACGTTCATCTTAGACATCCAAAACAATGAGCCGGTATCGGACACATAAGGTTTGTTCGCGTTGTCTGCACTTTCAACACCCGAGGGTAACGAGGGTACTACACTTTTCTTGAAGGTGCAGAAGGGTAGATACACTTTCGTCCCGAACGTTAGAAAGCTCAAGAAAGTACAAGATGGTCGATTTAGTGGGACAGTATACGATTCTGGAGCTGTTCAAAAATTCATAATTTATTTCAATCCAACCGCAGTTACGCAGTAATACATAATAATTGTAAATAAATAAATTGCAAATCACTNTGTACGATATTCGTTAAATATATATAGAAAATATAGGACAAATATTTTGTGCTACTAGGGGTTCTAAACACGAAGACAATGTATTAAATATTATTACTAATTATATTACCTCGAGATCTTGGGACAAACTTTGTATATTCCTGTTTGTTGGTCTGTTCAATTTTGAAATTCGCCGCCTAGAATTCACGGCCTATACTTTTAGAACATCTTGCCCTCGCTCGGGATCGAGGGTAGAAAGTGTACAGAGAGGTGTAGGCTCGGTGTAGATGTCCTCGTAAAACGAACGCCAAAGTGTAGACTTTTCGTAAAAGTGTAGAAAGTATAGGCAAAACGAATAAACCTATATACGTGAAGAGCAAGGGCGGCAAAGTGAAAAGATAACGAGGATGCTTCCCTCTCTCCCTCGGGATGAACACGCGGGATTCCGTGCGAGGAGGCGGGACTTGGATCGAGCCGCAACGAGGACGCGCCCGCAACAGACAAGACGCGTAAAAGAAAGTAAATCGGCGTCGATGCGCGCGCGCGCGATCCGCCTACCGCGGCGCGTCACAGTGAAGGCGGTATAGTCGCACGCGATGCATTTAACGCGCGCGCCCAATCCAAGCGTCGCGTCCTCGCGCGGAGCAGCGCGCGTCACGCGTCACGCGTCATGCGTCACGCGACGCCCGCCAAGGAGAAGTGACAGCGCGCGCCGGGTCAACCCTAATAAACGGGCCTGGATTCGAGGAAAATTTATTACCATAGGGGAGAATATATAACCACTACCGAGAGTACTGCGGAATGTTAAAAAATATATTACGCGGTGAAAAGAAAAAGAATTGGTTGACTTAGAGAAATGTGCATAGCGATAAAAAATCCTGCGATCAAATACCTCCAAACAAATATCACATTGAGCAAACGAAATCCGTTTAAATCAATGATATAATTTTTTTTTTCTTAACAAAATAATCGTTTCTAGCGGTTATGTGCGATTCAAGCGACAATATATATTTGTTTCAGACAACTGATCTTTTTCTCTCAGTGCATATGTGGTTGTGTTTATTTTGCACAATTTTGTTTTGGGTGAATTATGAGATGAGCAGAGAAGAGGCAGCGCGATGTCAACCCTGACGAACGGACCTGGATTCAAGGAGAATTTATTATCGTGGGGGAGAAAATGTAATCGTTACTGAGAGAACTGTGGAATGTTAAAAATTTTGTTACATGTGGTTATATGTATTTTGCATATTTTTATTTAGGAACGTTATGAAATGGAAACTGGCAGCGCGCTGTCAACCCTGATGAAAGGGCTTGGATTCGCGAAAAATGTATTATAGTGGGTGAGAAAATTTAATCATACGGTGAAACCTGTTTAATATTAAAAATTGTATGTTTTTCGCACAATTTTATTTTGGTAAATGGGCCAAGGTTTAAGAAAAATGTTGTTCGTAGGAATAAAAAAGATGCGACGCATACAACATGCGATGTAAAACGTTGAAATAAAAGTTAGATTGTTTAAAGTGTGCATTTTGCATTGTTTTAATTATCTTATGGGCGTCTCTAGCTGAGATGAGAAATGACAATACCTCAACGCAGGGGGATGGATTAATGAAAAATTCTTAATCCGAAAGAAAAATATCCAACCCCTGCCCTGCTTCCACTATAATGTTAAAATAAAAGTCACGTTGCATGAGCTTTAATGCACTCCCCCAGTTTTATTTATTTCATGCACGCGACACGCGATGAGCAGAACAGAGAAATATCAGCATGCGGCGGGTCACCCCCGACACAAGGGGGTGGATTCAAGGAAAATCTTTAATCGCGGGGAAAAAAAAAAGAAAAATATAACCGCTATGCGTACTGCGGAATTTAAAAATAAATGTCACGTAGCACGAGGTTCTATGAATTTTGCGCAAATTTTTATACTTATTTTATGCACGCGACGAGCTCCAAGAACTGACAGCGCGTTGAAGGGTTGGTCGGGGGTGGACCGAAGAAAAATTTTCAATCGGGGGGAAAATGTGCAACTCCATAGTGCATAAGGTGGGACATTAAACTAAAAGTTCAACGATGACGTTGTACGAGGTTTTATGCGTTTTACACAATATTTAATTATGAACTATCGACGACCATCGCGCAGAAATGACGGCGAAAATTATTAATCCTTCCAAAAATATGCAAACGAAAACGTGTAAAATTGAAAATGCAACGTCGCTGCACTTACTCGAGAATTTCATAGTAAATGTCGTGCCGTAAACATTTTACGTTTGATTTACATACTTAAGAAAGATCTAAAAATTAAGTTGTGGATTTTTAGAGCAGATCAGAATTTATAAGGATCCAATAATTAATTTGGATTAATTACTTCAGGGGAGCATAATTTAAATCGATGAATGCGCGGAAGATGATCGGGTCGATCGTTGGTTAGGTAACTCGGTTGTTAAGGCAAATTGGTAATTGTTCGATGGGATGTGGAATCTTTCGGATTTATAGGTAATCAAATTGAAACGAACGAACATCAGATGGTATTGGGTGCCGTTTTGATGGACATGAAGTCATTACCTCGTATGATTTAATGACCTTTCTGTTAGTGCAATCCGAGTTGACTGATAGGAAAAGATGAATAATTGAAACCAGTTATTTCTGGAGTAAAGCAGATTCGTATTCTCAGAGCGCTGGAGAGAATCTTGTGATGATACGTCTAACAATAAGAGAGAAAATCTCAGCGACTGAAAAACTTGAAACCTATGATTTTGTAGATTAAAAATTCATTTTTGGAAACCCCTTAAATATTATTTCACTCGCCTAAATTAGATTATTCCAAAAAATCGCGCCAACGTAAACATGTTTAGCATGGTAATGTAAAATTACATGATATTACAAAACGACAGATGACAACCATAAATTCACACTCCGCATGATACGTCACCTCAATCAGCATCACCAGAGGTTTAAGGCGATACGAAAGTGAAGTAAAAGAGGTCTCATTCACGAAACTTTTCTCCGAACTAGGGGTACTTAATCGTTTCAAACGTTACAATGTGAACCTGAAGACTAAAAGCAAGGTCCTGACACCCATGGGATTTCATTTGACATACAAAATGTGTAACATACCTATAAACAAATTGAACAAAAAAAATAGAAATTTCACGGGGGTCAGGACCTTCCTTACAGCCTCCATAATTACATGGTAAAGTTTGAAACGATTCGGCACCTCCAATTCGTTAAAAAGTTTCCTAAACGAAGCGTCATCGACGTCAGTTTCACATCACCTTAACACTTTGACGGCTGCACATTTGTCGCATCGCCTTAAGATTGCCGGCGGTGCGTATTACGCTTACGTAAAAAAAAAAAGGCACGCGTACGTGACATATTAACACAACGTGTTAATATTAGCACCTCCGATCGGATTTACATCTCCGTGGTGTTCGATCGCCGGATTCGATCGATTCGATCTCAATGGCGGCGCAAATCGGGAATGAACCGTCGCACTCACCCTGAGCCAGTCTCCTAGCTACCGGTTTGGATCTCATCGCTGAACGTAAGGGTACGATGAATGTGTAAACAAAGCACTGAGAAGACGGGTCCCGTGTCCGCTCGCCATGCGGGCCGCGAGGCGCGTCTCCGGGCGTCACACTAGACGCACGTCTCCGGGCGTCACACGCGACGCGCGCGCAGAGGGCGCGCCGAGCGGAGATCGGCGAGGCGACCGGTCGGACTCGCGGCCGCGACTAGCGCCAGTCGCGCCGCGCGCAGGACGCGGCGGCAGTTGCGCGGTGATCGGCACGGGCGCCGGATGCGGGCTCGACGGTGCTCGCGAGGGACGTCCGACGCCGGTCCTGACGTGCCCCGTGTGCGGATCTCGTCCTCCTCCGAAGGCCCGTCCTCCCCCGCCGCCTCCGTCCCACCTTTCGGTCCCCACTTTGAGACCTCCCTCCAGCGGTCGCGCGCGCCGCGGCTTCTTCGCGCCCTCTTCCCCACCTGAGCGCGACCGCCGGAAGCCGCGGCGACCAGGGGGGCGGGGGCGGCGGGCAGGCCTCCCCACCCGACTCGACCCGCCCGGCGTCCACCAATGATCTGCCGCTGTCTCCGCCGATGCGAAGCGACTCCTTCCTCTCCCTCCCGGCCCGGGCGGGTGGGGACTCCTCCGAGGAGATACTCCTGGTAAAAATAAAACCCGGGACCGGCGTCTGGGAATTCTGGACTTTCCGGGAACACCGAGACTCTGGTACCGGTCTTTGGCGAGGCTGCGGTACCTTTCGTTAGGGGGTTTATGCTTTTCTGTATTTTCAGGTGATGCTAAATCGACGGGCTGGACTAGTGTAGGTGAGATTTTAGGATTATGTGGTGTGCTTTATAGAGTTAAGGTATTTTTACCGATTTATAGGTGGTTTGGATCATTAAAATTGACCCTGTTTGACTCTGTTGTCATGGATTACATGGTCCTTACATCTAGAAATTTCCAGAGAAATGCTGGGTGGGATTGTGAAAACCGCATTAAAATCAGTATAAGCATTTTTGAGATTAGTTAACGATTGCAGGAATAGACGCCTAAGGAGGGGTTTATTTAACCCTTCGACTATGGGACCCTTTCGACATATGGGCGAAATTCATCAAGGCGCGCATGCAACATTGGATCAAACGTCGGGCACCTTTAGTCGCCTGCATTAGCCAAAGGGTTAAGGTAAGCTCTGGGTGGATCCGCAACTAGGATCTGATGACGGAGTCTGTTTTCTTGATATCTCAAGATATCGCATGAAAATCTGATTTTTCGACATTTACTAAATTTTAGAAGGAATCGCTTCTCTGTGAGAACACTTGGGAGTGGAGTCGCTCGATGCTTCAAGCTGAAGACTCATGGATTTGGCCGATCGTCCAAATCTTTTTCGAATTTTATTAATATCAGGGATAGTTGGCAACCCTTTGCGAACCATTGACAACGTCTAGCGGTCTCTGGCAACCTCCAGCAATCTCCGACCTCGAGACCCTCCGAGACCCTCCGAGAGCGTCCCATCGCGCAACCTTCGGGCGCAGCTCCGCCCTGCTGCTGCGTCCTCGTCGTCGTCGAGGTTCGCGTCGCCTTTTCTCCTCTCTTTTTCCGCGATTCCACCCCTGCTGCTCCCCCCCTTCCTGTCTCTTCCCTTCGATTTCCTCGAATATTTTCCGACCTCCGAGCGATGTCCCATCTCGACCGCACCGCCGCGCCATATGGAAATAACTGCACTGGAATCATAAAGTTCACCTCAGCCGAGGGAAACGTCGGCCTTTCCTCGTTTTTTAGATGAGTTCTGCCGACGTTACTTTCCTGGTGCGACCCCAATATCGAATGCCTCTCGCGAAATTCTATATCGACGCGGAATGTAACTTTTGACCTTTACCCTGTTTTAAAAAAAGATATTGAAATTTTATATCGTTTTTATTGCAAGTTTTACTCAGACATGGTACACTAATTTGATAACATTTATGACATACGTTGCAAATTTAAAACATAAGTTTACTCATTTTTCTACAAATTTTCACAAACTTTCAATATGATGTTACAATATTACAGATGTATTTTGAAGCTTATCATAAATGTATAATAATTCACGTTTGAGACATGTCATTTGTAATTTTATCACAATCTCTTATGTATCAAAAGTGTATGAATTTTGATGAATATTTTTAACAGGGTACATTTACTTCGTATCTGGATATGTATGAGTTCGTTCGAAAGATTCTATTTGTTGCCGACGGTTTTGACCATTTTACTGACATGACTTATCGGTACATTACATTATTGAGGTAATTTCAGTGCTCTGTTAGCGGTGGTACTTTTCCAATGACTCCCCGCGTCGAAATTTTGATCCTACTTAGAACGTCTAAATGTTAGTCTGAAGTATGTTTCGACACGATATACATTTATGTATTAGAGATCACACTTAAATCTTTAAAAGTGGCAGATATTTCAATTTTTTTCTGCTTTTTGGCCTAAAGTTGGACTTAATTCGCACGAAAATTTGATCCTACTTAAAACGTCTAAATGTTGATCTTAAATATGTTTCGACACGATATACTTTCATGCATTTAAGATCATACTTCAATCCTTAAAAGTGGCAGATATTTCAATTTTTTCTGCTTTTTGGCCTAAAGTTGGACTTAATTCGCAGGAAAATTAGATCCTACTTAGAACATCTAAATATTGATCTTAAATATGTTTCGACACGATATACTTTCATGTATTAGAGATCACACTTAAATCCTTAAAAGTGGCAGATATTTCAATTTTTTCTGCTTTTTGGCCTAAAGTTGGACTTAATTCGCACGAAATAGGACGCACAAGCTTGGAAGGAGAACTTAAGGCGACGTGAAAGAGCCACTCTAGATATATATAGCGTCAAAATATTTATAAAACTTTTCTCCAAACTAGATGCCCCGAATTATTCGGAACTTTGAGCTTGGTATCATGGAGTAGAGCTTTCTATGTAAGACCCCATGAGTTTGATCGCCCATAGGGTCGGCGAGCCGAAGTGGCCACTGTAATTAGGTTCGGAACTACCGTACGAGCTTCTCAAATCGTAAGTAGCCGTTATTTTAACGAGAATTGCCGGTAGCTCGGCCACCGGTTACGGTCCGGCACCTATGGAAACGGCTCTCGGCAAACAGAAATATCGCGGGTGCAGTCGCTGCCCCGGCTAAACGGTCTCGTGTTTATTTTCATCTTTGGGGGAAATCGTAAATCCGCATTCATTCCGACCACCGGGCCAAGAAGTCGCGCCCGAGACGACGTAGACCAGCCAGCACCGAATTATCATCTCGTTGAAATTCTACTCGAAATCGAAAATGTACTCCGAGAGGTCGTAAACGACCGATTCTCGGGACCCCGAGGGTCGGCAGACTCGCGGATGAAGAACAAACACGTGTTTGGAAAATGGAGGTGAACAATGGACGGAGATGTTTGCAGCATATCGCAAACTATGCGCGCTTTTCATCTGAATGTTTGATGTTAGTCTTTTGACTTCGGTTAGAATACCGTAAAACCCAGTAAGTTAGTTCACAGCTATCTTACCTACTGATCGAAACATTCGTTTAATCAGGGAAATCGATAGAGCTTCGCGCCAAGTGCATGCACGCACGGAAAAAATAATAATTTCGTTACAATTATTATAGGGACATGGTTAAAATACTGTGGGAAGTAAAACCACATAAATGGGGAAATTTACCACATGGAATGAGAAATGTAACCTTACGAATAGGTACTGTATCCATGGCGCTGCGCTTAAAAGGTGCAGGAGTGATCACCATTTGGAATGGTAATATTAACTACATGAAGAGGTTACAATACGCACATGGAAGGTTTATCTGGAAGCTGTAATCACATCTTATAGTAAGGTTATGCCCAGTTGAAAGGTTATTCTAAACTTACATATGTAATTGCAGAAACAATGGTTTGGCCCCATTAGTTTCGACAGCGCCGCCAAGTGACAAAACTTCTCACAGACGATGCAGGCTACTCGGGTACATATAAGACCCGTTCCTTCTCTTTACGTTTACGATACAATGACTTTACCCCTTCCCGAAAAAGAGTAAAAAGGGATGTGATCATCGAGAAAGCACATTTTTGAGCGCAAAATGATAGTTTACTACTTGAGGCAGAAATGAATGCGAGAACACTGACAGAAACATAAGTATAGCGATCATAGACACAAGAATTACATTTTTTATATCGAGGGTAAATTTTTTAATGGAATATTCCCAACTATGCACAGTGTTAGAACAACTCATTCCTTGTAGTTACATTGACTAAGTCGTGAAGGAACCCTTACTATCTTCTTTTTTCTATATAATGCTGGTTACTGCAACCTCTTCCCAAGGTTGTCTCGTATATTGCCTTGCAATAGGGTTACGATTACCACAATTGTGGTGTTCATAACCATTCTTTTTTTTTCCCATGCACAAGCTTATGCGCGAACGCCACCGGGTTTCTTTACAAGTATGGCATATTGCTCCCGATAAGATCGAGTCATTTCTACATTTTGGTGTCAGGATACAGGCGTCCTTTAATTTCCGCGAAGTATTCATCCCACGTGGGTTCGTTTTACGCGATTGAAAAACGCGTAAATAAAGTGTTACTATGAGAGACAAAAATATTGGAAATAAAAGGTAGTACATGTGAGTTTTAGAAATACATATATTTATTTAACATAGCTTAACAAATGAAATAATTAAAATATATATTCGCGTAAATTGAAGGAGGGGTGTATTTGCAAATATGGAGATAGTTTTATGGTGCGTTTTCAGAATATGTGTGCACGTTATTGCATACCGAATACTGCGGTAAGCGAAAAGACGATCGCGAATGTAGAAGTGGCTTTAACAAACGTAAAAGCGATCACCTCTGTTTGAAGCGAAGTCTCGAGCGAGACCAATGATATTTATTACTTCAGGCTTGCCCTGGACTCTCGGATCTTCAATCAACTACCGGTGGACCGATCGCGGCCACCAACGTAGCGTGTAAACCGCGCTATCGGTAAGTGTAAATAACATACGATTACAATTGATAGGACCAGAGTGCATTACGCTTAACCCACGTATAAAATGTTACAAATATCTCTCATCCCAATCTCTACCACAAGCCGAAAACAATACCATCATCTATAAGATTCAACCGTTCCTCTCTTCTCTGATGATAAAAAATATCAGAAAAGACACCTTAATTTCCTTTCTTAATTCAAAACTTCCTTCAGGTGAAATGAAACACGTCGAGGAATGTCGGTAAAACAGGTTTTTCTAAATACCTACGTTACAGACGTTCGTTTTTATATTGACAGCAGTGTCGAATTATATTGAGCATTGTACTACATTGCATACTACATTTGTTGTTTTCATGCAATAATTATAAGAAAATCGATGTAAAATTCCAGAAATCCCCCTGGATTTATGGTTTCTGAGACCCAAATTGACTGCAGAGGGACCTCCTGCGCCATCTGGGATTTTCTTGTCAACTAATTTTTCACTCCGAGACCTCGTATTACCATCGTTTTAGCATAGAAACGCATAAGACACTTTTTTTTGCCTTTACCCTGTTCAAATGCGAGTTTCTCAATTACCAGAGTGTTCTAAATTGTCGTAAAATTGTCCTTACACTTTCGTTTCTCATATCAGAGCCTTCAATAATTATATATTGATCGAAATATAAGAGCTCAACGCCATTTTGGTTCTGGTCTCCGCTGCTACAAAATGTTTTTGAAAAATCCAAATTTTGAATGTGTCAGGACAATTATTAGATGATCACGAATCATGTGTTAAAGTTGCGAACAGTTTGGCCAAATACCCTTAAAAAAAGTGTTGTATTCGAATCGACTGATCTGAGGGGGGTTTCACATCACCTTCAGGGGATGTGAAAGAGATCTAAGGGGTCTATCGTTCATGAAACTTTTCTCCGAACTGGATGTACCGAATCGTTTGAAACTTTAGAACATGAATATGGAGGCTACGAGGAAGGCCTTGACAACCATGAAATTTCATTACTATAAAAAATGTTTAAAATGTCTATAAGGAAATTTATAAAAACAAATTGAAACTTCATAGCTGGCAGAAACTTTCTTATAGTCTCCATATTCACAGTGTAAAGTTTGAAATGATTCGGTACGCCTAGTTCGAGAAAAGTTTTATAAACGAAACCGCTTTGATTCTACTTTCACATCACCTTAAGGTATCGTGGTAAGATAAGGTAAGGTACGGTAACATGAACGTCGTTTAAACGTAATTTGTACGTAAAATATCGTCCATATTCTTTTACTATGCGCTGAAAAACGTTAAAATCCATATTTCTTCTCGAGTTGGGATAAACATCGAAAACATAATGCTAATCAACGTTTCTTGTTGATGTATATTTAACGTGGAGAAAAAAAAACCGTGGGTGGATAAACGTTTAATTTGTACACTTACCATCCTGTTTGCACTAGATTTACGTGTATAAAACGTGAATTCCACTACTTCATGTTCATTGGGAAGGATTTAGCACGGTGGACGGAGCTAATGAGCAGCAGTCAGTGCCCGCCTGGGATTGGTCACGCTTCGGTTTTCGGTAGGTGGTATTCTTTGTAAGCTGACACCCCTTCGACTCTGCACGCAGCTCGGTCATCTCGCGTGCTGCTCGCGGCTGTTTGCGGCTGCGAGTCGTGCCTTTCGCTCTCTCTCTCCTTTTTTTTTCTTCGCTTTCCTTCCCGCGCAACCCTCTTTGTTTCCCGAGTGCACGTGCTCCGGTTGCGCGCGCATGGCACTCGCGCGAACGCCTGGATTCACGAGAACGGTTTCAGCCTACCGTGTCCTGGGTTTGACTTTATTTATTCATTCTGTACATGGTATTGTTCATATTAATTATTATATCGAGGGATGAATGTGAAGGTAAGTACTTAATCATTGAATGTATTGGACTCTTTTTAATTCTAGGTTATAGGGTTATTACACCATGCAC